TTTCTCCACGTTGATGCAGTTCTTGGCGGACGCCTCGACGAACTCGCAGCCCAAGTCCTTCGCCAGGGCCTGTCCTTCCTGCGCCGAGACCGCTCGCTCCACTGCTTTGTCGCTCTTGTTGCCGACAAGCATCACGGGTACGGGGAGGGGCGGACCCGAAGGCGTGTTCATGGGTGATCCCAGATAGCTGGCTCCGGACGGCGACCCAGAGTGGGCTGATTCCTTGACCATCTTGATCTGATTGTAGAATTTTTGTATGCGCGAGAAAGAGGCGCGCGATGTGATGCTGTAGACAAGCACGAAACCTTCGCCGTCGCGAATCCACTGATCTCGCAAGGCCGTGTATTCCTCCTGGCCTGCGGTGTCCAGCACTTCCAACATGCAGGACTGCTGATCGATCACAACTTGTTTCCGGTACGAGTCTTCAATCGTGGGATCGTACGTTTCGACGAAATGATTCAAACAAAGCTATTCAGAGTGGAAATGTTAAGTCGAGAGTTCAGTAACGGTGCCATCAACCGTCAAGACAGAGATGGAGGGCTAACCTGGATCGTGAGCGCGGTCTTGCCGACACCACCATCTCCCAACACCACCAATTTGTACAACGTCATTTTTCCCGACATGGCGACTATATCGCACCCGTACGTAACCGAAGTAAAAAAAATTGTTTAATTTTTTTTGTTAGGAGGGAAGAAAGAGTAGAAGAAGATTGGGTGCGAGGCGAAGAGGAAGGGGAGAGAGAGGGGCGAAGAGAGAAGAGAAAGCTATGAATGCTCCACGGTGGGCACGGACGCGGATAACGGAGTGTTGCGAGACACTACGACTGGGGGTCCAGCGCAGGAACTTAAAAGAACGGCTATTGTGGTAAAGTTAGTGCGGTCTATTAGCCACCGGAAGAACCGTCGTTGCTCTCTGGCCGCCCAAGCACATGCGCAGTCCACAATCCACACCACACAACACGAGGCCTCACGGAAGCAAAAGAGAGAAGACATGACATACCTTTGGGCCCTTGATTTGTGTTTATGATCAGCGAATTGAAGCGAGAATTGTCAAAAAAAAAAAAAAACCCTGAAGGTCGTCGATCACAGGATCAGGAGTAAGATAGTACGAGACAGAAAAATTTGGACTCGAGCGGAAAACCCGAGAGTCCCAGCAGCCAACAGTATCTGCAGATATCCTTGCCACAGCGTGTTTGATAGTCTTAGCAGACGGACGAAATGCGGGTTTGCCAGTGCTTCCGATGAGTAGTGACACAGAGGGATGTTTTGCCAATATATCTGGTGTCCCTTTTTTTTTTCTTGTGAAGGGGAATGCCTGAAGATTGATTCCGCCACGCAAAAATAGCAGAGTTGAAGCGGATCCAATTTGGAATCAGAGTAATCAGGAAGTGAGAGTCCAAGGGGCGTGAGGTGGAATATCTTTCCTCTGTCCTTTTCTTTTCTTTTTCGTCTTTATACTCCTTATCTTCTAGGGAGGGGGAGGGGGAAAGCTGCACAGGCGATCAAGCGCCCACGCCAGGGAGGACCAAGGGTAAAAAGGCTTGGCCAGCGACACTGTGAAAGATTGCGAGGAGAGAAGCAAAACGACAAGATCGCTTATAAGAAACAGGAGAAGAGGAAAAGGTACAGATAGATGAAGGAACAGATACAGGGGAAGAAATAATGACAATAATAATGAAAAGGGAGGGAGAAAAATCGCAACAATAGTGATTAATTATTATGTAGACTATTTTATTACGGAGTACTGAGGCACGTTCTCTTCCCCCCCTCTCTCATAATCCGATGTAGTTAAGCCAGGGCCTACCTAGAGTAGTTAGTAGAAGTACTACGGCATTGTATTAGCAAGATACTTGGACTGATGTTTGACTAGGGTGGGTATAATATAGCGATACTAGGCAAGGACAATAGATGAATGAAGTCAAAGGCGAATAGGCACAATGCTGTGTCCATTCTCCCATGTCAGAATGGCACCTACGAAGTACTTCGTAAGAAGGTTTCCCTCTCCAAATCAATTGATAGATCTGATACCCATTACACGCATTCTGAGTTTGGATGGAGACAATTGTGTGGCGTCTCAGCTTGTCTATGCAGGACTATGCTCAAAGTATACTCGTCTACAAGGCGGTATAACGGGAATCATTTTCAAGGAGTTGCACGTCAGGTAATTGTTCTGTCATCGTCAGACTAGATCTGATGCAGGTGAGTACAGCCGTATCATCCGCTTTGATTCTCCGACATTCAAGCGAATCGACTGTAATGGAATCCGCAAGGTACCTGACCATCGAGACGGTGCGCAGTACTCACGAGTTCGATTCATCTCACCACCATAACCCTTCATGATGTGATACTTGCGATTCGAAAATGCCCAGTAGCTCCCCCTGAGTCTCTGATCACGGCCTGAAAATGAAAGTTTTGCCAGTCTTAGCCTCGTCTCAGATCTTCAAGAAAACATGCCCACTTTCAACTGAAGACAGTTTCGGGTACACACCAAGTGGGCGGATGGCCACACTAAGAGTCCCCACACCAGACCCAGTTGGCAATTGGCATTCAGGTTGTTTAGGCTTCATCTACCTACAAAGTCCAGCGGTACGCTTCCGAGTGATACAGCGAAGGACAGTGCATGAACTTAGACATCCGATTGTGCACCAATACGGAGTGCTCCTAGAGTCCCAAAGCGTGTTGATGGAGCTCAAATGCCAGTCTGCAGTGGCAATTAAAATGCTATCTACAACTAGTCTCGCAAGTTGCATCCCTAGACTATCCAACGGGGAAGGCGATCGAACATTCCGCGGCCCCCTGGCTACTCGCTAAAATCCCATCTTCCTGATCCCTGGGATTCCTTATGCGTGGCGCCCCGCTGGCAATATGGGAGTGTGCGTTTAGAGTTCGCAGTGTATGCGGTATGGCAGTATACTTGAAACTACCTTTTGGATGTAGCCAGGTGGTGGCAGTATCATATCGAGTCCTACGAGAACATAAGCTTGAATTTGATCTTTATATTGAGGCATTGCGATTAAGAAGGTATATATTAGGTGAAATATGCCGTGAGTCCATGAACGTCATCGCGGGATATGTGCCTGGATTCGGAGATCAAAACGATGCTCCTTGCAAATAATCCCGCAACCCTAAAGGAAAGTAGTATTCTCAACCTTCTAGAATGGCTTTGTTCTTGGCTCACGGATAGTCAGAGACTTACACTTTAGCCTCTGAGCGATTCAAGTTAAGGGGGAGGGGCACCCGACAACCTGACAGTTCACGTCAGATATCCCTAGGTATCAGAGAAGATTGACTTGTGGTCCTGGTTTCAGTTGATCTACCACGAAGGTACTCCGTACTTCGAGTACTGCACTATTGTACGAACTGAAGTGGTATCTATCCGTAGGTACTTCTCTCGCCTCTTTGCCACTGCCCTGGCCCATTCCCACGTGGGTTAAATGCACGATAGACGGTACTACTGCACAGGCCGACCTAGCGCCTTAGGTATCAATCTTACCTTGTATGATCGATAACTGAGCCTAGAAGTATCCCGAGCTTGTAGATTGATTCCTACATTGGATACGACAGGTAGATCACCGTCATCATGGCATCATATTATTATTGACGGATAGATAACATCTGGACTTCGGAAGGAACAGCCATGGATCAACCAGGAGCACTAAAGTGACTAAAAAGCCGGAGCCCGAAGTAGCCGACGGAGGAGTGTTCAGGGGGGTGTCAGTGCCCGCCACATTATCAATCACATAATTTGTGACATCGACTGACTCGTCTCCGACTAGCAGATGGGTAATTTCTCCGGGGCTTATCCAGGAAATCCAGTAGGTCTGATAGTATTCCATGCCTCTATATTCTATACTCCGTACCAGTTCACTACCAATTAGACAGTGGACAGGCTATGTTAATAAGTAAAGTACTCACTCAAGATCTGTGCAGCTGTCCTGTCAGGTGAAACTCCAAAGGATTAAACCCATCGCCCATCCCAATATTCATCCGCTCGGAACGCCCCGCTCAACCAGAGAACCTGGCAAACTTGGCATATCTAGCCGCGCAGTGTGCTCTGTGCAGGATCGAATCAGAACCAAGATGAGAGTCCAGGATGGCACTAACTCTTCCTCCATCCATGGTTGTCGCTTCGGCGGTGCGCCGCGGTACGCCGCGGTGGTGATATGGCCCGTTTCCCCTGCCTGTTTGGGGGCTAGTGGCTACCTGGGACTGGGTCGGATAAATCTAGACCGTCGATGGTTACCTTCTACTTAAAGAGGGAATTGGATAGGTGGTAGCTTGACAGGGTTGCAGTGCATAAGATGAAGCATGAGGTAGATTGGGGGCCGGATGGAGTGACTGGAAGATGATTCCGATTTGAACATAACTTTTACCAGTGGGAAGAGCATCCTACCCCATGATCCCAGGTGCTGTGCTGGACCTTTCTGCTGGACGAAAAAAGCAAACATCCACGTTTTTTTGCCTTACCAGGAAAGAAGCCCTCCCTCGGCTTCTAGTGTCATTCTACGCCAATCACTGACTCGCGGCCATACACGCCTACCTTACTATTTCTGGGACCAAGGTCGTTCACGACGTTTCTCAACTACGAATGACGCTGTGCTTGATCCCCGTTTAACGCGGAGACCGCGGGGAAATTGTCGATTAGAGTCAAGGTATTGCCGATTGAGTGTCACCTGTGATACGTGACTGGCCCGTCTACTGTCTACACTTGACCTCTTGCGAAGGCTTGTTCTCCAACGGTAGCATGTCTGGCCCAGACCCTGCAGGAACGATCAACACCGCGTTAAACTGTTCCTCGGTCGCCTTGAGATACCCAATTTTATACTAGCCTGGTCAGCATGGTGGCGAGGGTCAAAAAAAAAGGCTCACCAGATCAAAAAAGTCGTCTTCTTGAACGGCCGTCGCGTTCTGTCCCATTGGTCGTAGCACAACTGCTGGTATCAGCGACCAATGCGCGGATAGTTATGCCGGATCATTCACGGATTGCAACGGAAGATCAGTTTAGTATGCCACATCGAAGCGAGCAATTGTCGTGTACAGCAGGATATCCGCCTCGGTGATGTTCGCCCCCAACAGATACGGCCGGTGATCGGGCTTCTCCGAGTGGCTCCTCCACGCGGTCCAGCGTCTCGAACAACGGGTACAGGCTGGCATGGTACGCTTCCTGCGTCGTGGCGAGCCCGGTCGTGTATACCCCGTCGTTGATCTTGTCGTACACTCACTCGTTCATGGCGTCGATGTGGGCTCGCAGAGGCGCGGGATAGAGTCCACCGCCAGGCTGGTTGGCCTGGCGCATCGCCTGGGGCAGGAGATGGTCAAAATTGGCGTACACGTGCAGATGATCTCGCTACTTCCATTGCTGCTGATCTTTCGGCGCTATTTGTCCCAGAGGACCGGGGTCGTGTACCGGTCCTCATACTCTCTCCGCAATCCCAAAATGGCCAAGGAGAACCACCCGTGCGGGCCCTGCCCCGGTCAAGTACCACCAGCTCGAGGATGTCTTCTAGTCCCTTGAGGATGCGGGCGATGCTGATGCGGTGCGCCCAGGGACACACTTACCCAGGTGCAGCATGTAGCGGTCTTTCTGTGCAGGGAACTCGGAGGATGGGTCGCTTGAAACGAATGAGCGGAATGTCGACGGCTTGCGAAGAAATTCGCTATCACCGTCGGCGTGTTTGTAGATTCGGGGCTGGCCTTCAGTGGCAGCAAGGGTAATGCCGGACGTATATACGTACCTGGTCGGTCATGTTCTCTTGTCTGGTCGACGCATCAGCATCCTGCTGGCTGCTGAGGGACAGGCTGACAAATCTATGGTCACAATTTATGGTCAGCGGATGTCGGGATAGCAGCACGCCTTAAGTCTGTTTTGCAATTGCTCAGCTACAACCAAACCCCGTATGTCGCAAATGATGCAATAGAATTGACCATGAGTACTCGTCAGGCATGATAATGTACACATAACAGCATCATAATCTAGACCTTGGCCTCGGTGTCAATTCCAAACTGCCTGGCAAGTTCAAGAAACCCATCGCAACTTGCATCAATCCAGATATCAACATAGCCGTCCTTCCGTGCCTGCTCCACGTCCAACGTCTCCTCCTTCAGACGCTCTACATAAACCGTCTGAAACCCGCAGGCTTTGGCACCCTTCAAATCCCCCAGATGCGCCGCCACAAGCGCGCACTCCCCGGGCTCCACTCCGAATCTCTCCGCAGCCCCGCCGTAGACCTTTGGCGACGGCTTGTACGCCCCAAAGTGCTCTGCACTGAGCACCTCTGTGAAGGGCAACGAGGCGTATCGACAGAGATCCTCTAGCAGTGCCACATTCCCGTTGGACAGGGTGCAGGTGCGAAACTTGCGGTTCAGGAGCTCCAGGCCACGAAGGGTATCGGACCACGGAGTGAGCCGGTGCCAGCTCAGCGCGAGCTCCCATCTCTCGGCGTCGGTGAACAGAGTCTCGAGACCGTGGGCTTGGAGGAGCTTGAGGAGGTGCGAGTAGTGGTGCTCGTCGACGGAGACGAAGGGTTTCGATGGATCGCGGTTCCGGGTGAACTGGTGATATGACTCGCGCCATTCCTCGGTTATGTCGAGCCAGTCTGATTGAGTCATTGACGAGACTTTGGCGCGCACCGCGTCGGAGAGCTCCTTTGTTGGGTCTTGGAGCGCGTTTTGTGCTGCGTCATAGAGAGCTTTGGAGACGGGCGTTCGCCATTCGACGACGGTGCCAAAGACATCGAAGAAGAGGACTCGGGGGAGAGTTTGGGATGACATTGGTGACTCTGTAGTTCATGAATTGCGATAGATATGGTGGTGATTCAGCCACAATCCAATCTCACACGAGTATTGAATATCATGAGGGATCAACGTGGTTGTTGATATTTTATGGTTGATAGCCAGAGTCACATACCCCGCAAAGGCGTCATATTGCCTAACGCCGAGAGCGGGCGTGCCAGGTCAGGATCAACGTTCAGCCCGAGGCTTACCGGTGACTCAGTGACTGAGAGGATTGAGCAAATTGATCGATATCCGAGCATCTAGTAGACTCGATTCAACAAATCAGAGAATCAAAAGGAAGAATAATGAGGCGATTCAGTTGCGGTAGGAACTGGGTGTGATGACTCCGAACTGTAGTCAACAAGTGGATGAGCATGTGGATAAATCACATCATCACATAGTCCATTGCTTCAGATAGATCAATGTTCATCCTATTATTAGAGTCTCAATCAATTATATGAGCTTTGACAGCTGCAGTGTGATGATCATCAACGGCTGCACATGTGTGATCATATTAGTGCAAGGTAGCTGAAGCCTCGAGCTGACACCTCGGTATTATGAAATATTTGAGTTCAATCCGATGTGGTGATTGAGTACTCCGTACATGGCTATGAGCTTTTCTCTTAGAATAGATAATTGATGGGTTTTATCTGGTAGGGAGACTATCTAGTCCGAAGCAGAGCAATCATGTGGAGCAATTGAAGTAGTTGGGGGCTTTTGTGTATGGACCTGTCATCTCTCAGAAAGAACGTCTTTTCTTTGTTGTTCTTTTTGATCAAAAGACAAAAGTACAACCCCTGAATGAAAAGCTCCAAGCCAACGCTACTAATGCTAGACTAATTGATTGCAGTGGGGTCGCTAACGACGCCGGGCTAAACTAAGCAGTCTAGGTGGATTATTGCAGAGTAGTAGACTTTTGTCACATTCTAACTTTTTGGTCTTTCCAAGACATCACGTTCTTCTGCGTTGGATAACTAAGACAAGGACCGAGGCCAAGGACTACAACTGCAAAACAGACACTATGTACTACTACAGACAACAGGATGTACATGTGCTCACAGCTCGTGACCGAAAGTGCTACTTTCGTCATTGTCTCTGAACTCATAGAACACTCAATCTATAGAAGGAGATCCCAGAGCCATAACAGAGAGTACTTCTGCGTCATATCATGAATCCAAGGACATAGGAAAAGGGGCCTGAGCAGGGACCACTTAATCTATGAGGGTCGAATGAGTTTCTTCCTTCAGCCTATGAAGGTACACTATCATGAACACAATTGATTTCCGTCTCAATCAACCAATCTCAAAGCAGTCAAGCGCACCGTAGTAAGTTCAGTTCTGAACCCACAGGAATAAAGCCAAAAACCAAAACCTGGGACGCGGCCCGTCTGTGTTTGTATACCTCTCCTGTATCCAAGGAAGCGACTCGGGTGTTCCCTCACTTTCCGAGTCTTGCCATCTGCCTGTATCATCTGCTTTGTTATGATGTGGATATCGAATTGTATGACGGTGGTTAGTATACAGCATTAATTGGGTATCAATATTACTACCTTACTGACCACGTCTTGCATTCGTCTGCAGCGCTGCATCTCCCGTAGTCGAAACTCAAAAGATTAAATTTGATCCAATAAACCAATTGGATGCTCGATCACACGCGACAACTGAGTGGAAATCTACTACGTACTGCACCCCTGTAGTTCGCTGCTATAACGCTCGTGTTTAAACCTACCACATGCTCGGATTCAGCGATATCACTCCGTACTGAAACACGGACCAGAGGCTATGCCGATCTTCTTGAAAAGCAAACACAGGGTCTAGATATCTATGATTATATTGGTCTCATGGCGTGGTTTACATGACCGTATCGCCCATTTCGCATCGTATGATTCCCCTGTCGATCAATAATAACGAATGGATGGTTCCGTGTAAAATACCCTCAATCAAAACAAGGACACAGAAGAGGGACAACCTGGACAAGAGCTTTCATATATACGGAGTAGACGAGACTTCATTATTAGCATCACGTCCAGGTACTTGAATGGATACTCAATTCACTGGTTTAAAAAGTCCATCATCGGTTGAGTGAAGTTCATAGTATTTCATATAAGTGAGTCCAGGAATGATGATTTTGAGATCAAATTTCCCGTAATCGCCTAGGCCAACTACCTTTCGGAATCTACTCCGTAGGTACCTTGGGTAGCTAGTTACTCCCTAGACATGAGGTAATAATAATAAGAGATACGTACTGTACCATTTCATTGTTATGTACGGAGTATTGCATGGGCTATGATCAGAAACAGAGTACAGCTTGGTAACTATGATACATACACCAGCCTGTGCCTGCCAGCGTCTCTTCGCTTTCTCCCTTCCTCTCATCTGAAGGCTGAATTAACGCGCGTTTCATATCCACTTGTCCTTTTTTTCCTTTTTCCTTTTTCCTATTGTCCTCTACGGATGATTAACTCTCTTTATTAGTTAATTTAATACCCTAGTTAGTTAATATCACTTCTTTCTTCTCCCAACAACGGACAGGACGCGACCACCATTGAATGATAGCCAATACCAGCCGAATCCTATCAATTTTCCGTCCGTTTTGATCCGTCGTCTCTAGCCTATATCCAATAATCCACCGACGCATCCATCGATATAAGTTCGTCCAGTCTAGGCTGCCCACCTGTAGCTCTGGTGGGGTCCAGTATTATTGTCCCCTCAACCTTCCACTAATTGAATTGCCGTCCTTTATTACTTTCATATGGAGTACTCCGTAGTACCAATGCTACTAACCACGATGGTGAGTAGATCGGTGCTTTGGTGCTATTCAGTAGTGCATCCACCTCCTAACGAACTGCCCCTGGACTGGCTCTAGCTTAGTTCATTTCAAGATGCTTGGACAGGTTCCTGTGCCGCAAGGCTAAAATCCATCCTGGCAACTAAAAAAGGGGAAAAGGCAGAGAAAAAACAAAAAAAAAGAAAAAAAACTTAAGGTAAAAAGAAATTAGAGACTGATCTAAGGGCCTCAGCTGCATGGGCTCGCTCTTTCCACACTCGCCATCTATTGACTAGATAGCCTAGACTTCTAGTTTCGAAGGATGAGCGATTGAATGCAAGACCGGCCGTCATCTCGCAGGTAGATAGACAGTCACTCTGCCTGCGTGCGTCGTCTGTCTCGAGTCTCGATCGTCACCCTTTCCCCCGCGTTGCGCGGATTCATTATTTCCATCCTTATCTTGCAATCCATTCGATTCATTCGCTGTTACTGCATCAGTTAATTCGGCTTCTGTGTCTCCTCGCATTCGCATGATAATTTTTTATCCTTAATATCCACGTATATAATTAACAAGCGCAGCACCATCCCCTCGAGGGTTCAACCTTCAGGAGCTGTTCCAACCTGAGGTACGTGCACGTTTACGCAAGACTAGGGAGGCTGGATTGTTCAGCCTTCAGAAGTCGAGACAACCGGCCTGGAATCGGCTGACTGGGCGGTCACTGTAGATTCATTTGGCGACAATTCTCGAAATTACTG